TTCTGTGGCTGTTGAGCCGGAGGCCACTGTGGCCACATGGGTGTGGAGTCCTTGTGACGAAGGAGCGGAGCTGCCTGTCCAGTCTTCACTTCTCCCTGGGCCCATTTTACCATCTGTCTGCACGGCTCAGAGAGGCAAGATCTGTGCTTTCCTATGAAAAAGAAAATTGTCTTTTTCTTTTCATTGAGAAAGCTACCAGCCAGAGAAATTGGTCAGGACTCCAACATTAATTGTGCTAAATAGCAATGAAATTTGCCATGCACGGGAGAAGGGAATGATTCTTGTTATAGTTTCTGCCTGAGACTCTCATGGGCCTGAGGCCAGTTGCAGAGCTGCTGCCGTTAGGGCTGCTGCAGTCAGGAGGGGCAGAATTGCTAATTTGTTCATCTTTAAATTAACACCAGCACTCATGGGCTTCTGGTTCAGCCTGGGAACTGCATTAAAATTCTTAGTGACTAAGGTGCACAGAACTTTACGCCTTCTCAAATTTGTATTAACTTCTCTTCCTGGCTGAAGCAGGATTTAGTCTGACATTTCATCTGTAATGTAGCTCCTAACTACATATCCAGGATCTGCAAGATTAGTAATTTCTTATTTTTTATGTGTGGTGGTTTTGGTTTTTTTGTGTGTAGCACAAACCAGTCCTAATAAAGACACTGTCTCATGAGATTTTCCCTTCTGGCATATAATTACTCAGATAACTTGTACCCCAGTGTTAACCTACTAACTAACCAATTGTGATGCACAGCAACCTAGCTGGAATGGGGGTCAAGTGGTATAAATGAGCTCTAACCATAAAGACGTAAGTATAAGTACATCAGTTGCACTCTTGAAGGAGTCGTCATCAGGAAAGTATTTATTTGTAGCTTGTTTCGGTGCAGTATAGGACCTAAAAAGAAGAAAGGGAACATAACCCCATGTGAAAGACTGGCAGTTTAACACCATCAACAAGTACTCCATAGTACATGATTTAAGATACATTAGGAGTAATTAAATCTTTCTCCATGTTTGTACGAGGATGTGTGTGTTTATGTGTTCTCTGTGTAGGTGCATAGAGCTCTAAATAGTCACTGGCTAAATTTTGCAAGATGCTGACATTACTAATGCTGTGTTAGCAGTCTGGTAGATGTCTCCTTTCTTAGTGTCTTGCAAAACTTGAAGACCTAACACTCTTGTTTTTCTTAATTCCTATTGTTTGAATTGAAGATAATAATGAAGCTAGTTTTGCCTTTTAAAAAAATCAGTTTCTCTTTACAGTTTTTGCACTATAATGTTTGGGTTTCAAAAGAATTTAGGAAATGTTTAAAAGGTGTGTCATGAAAGATTTAAAAAAAACAGAGAATACTTCCTATTGGGTTTAGGTTTTACGGAAGCTTGCTTTTACAAATACACGGTTCAGCTGGATGTTACAGGCTCTGGTTCTAAATATAACTACCTAATTAAACCCTATGCCTTGGTTATCCAAGCGGAAGTACCGGGATACAGTGAAGATTTTAAATCCAAAAAAGAGCAATAAATTGTCCAGTCTAAACTACGGCGTTATACGGACCATCACACTTCACCCATTCACTTCATATTGTTTGTTTTTGTATGACTTAAAAATAGACACCTTGGTAAAATTAGAGGAGAAGGAAGTAGTCACCTGGGTAAGTGGTTTTCACATGGTGGTCCACAGGGCCACTGGTATCACAGTGGGAAATAGTTGCTATTCTTCCTGTATTAAGGCTTCCCAAGAGTCAGAGCTCATCAGAGGTTATTTTTGACCATCTAAATCAACTACAAGCAACTATAAACCACCTCTTTTCACCCCAGATGGCTGCTTCTCAATTTGTTTGGTTTTTGGGTCAAGTCTTTTATAGTAGATTTCAATCATGGTCGTATGTACAGATAACACGAAAGCTGGAAGAGCAGAGGAAAAAATAGAACTAAGCAGCGATATGACCTGCAGAAATTAGAGCAGAAGGAGATGTTGCTAATGAAGGGTAAAGCAGTGCCAAGGATTTGAAAATCTTATACTTCGGGAGAAAAAAAAGAATGGAGAAAGTATCTAGTTGGGGGAAGAAAATTAAGCAGCTCAGCCTCTTGTTTGGGTTTGGGATGGGTAGTTAATGAAAATGAGGAACTGCATCCTTGGGAGAAACACTGGAGACCCTTTGACAGTCATCTGTTCCCGTACTGCAGCCCCGACTTTAAGTCATTGATAGATGTGTGATAGAAGCTATGACCAGGAGCCATGGCAACCAAAATGAGTCCCTGGAAGAATGGAGCTGGGG